TTGGATGACTCTGAGTTTGAGCCGGATGACGACTCTGATTCAGAGCTGGATCACTATCTCGATGTTGAAGACGAGTCTGACGAACGACCCCCGCCCAAGAAGGTAAAACTGTCTCATGCTCCTCCAGCTGGAAAGAGCACGAATGCCTCGAAGGCTCGGCGACCCTTGACGGAGTCGGGAGCGAACAGGAGAAAGTTGTAGCAGTCGCTGTGTATGAAAATTTGTGTACTTGAAAGCCTTTAATTGAATACCTTTTGCACAATTCCGCTTGGGAGTTCCCAAAAGGTGATCGCTGCAATCAGAAGCAAAACTAAGACAGTAAAAAAAAACTTGTGGAGTACCGGCGAATCGAACGCCGCGCCTCTCCCATGCATAGCCCGTGACCGACATGCTAAGGGAGCGCTCTACCGATGAGCTAGAACCCCATCACGACATTGCTAGCCAATTCCCCTCAATATAACTTGGACTCAAACTTGCCAGACCAAGCCAGGCCTACCATCTCGGAACCTGCCTCGAGGGTGGGTAGACGTGCCAAGCTTGGACAAGCTTGGGCTTATCTGATCCTGCGAGTGAGCTGCGAGACTGTCCGCCTGCGACCTGTCAGAATCCGACATCATGTGAGAGTCTGGCAAGTATCCGAGCTGTGTCTCTAGGATCCTCAAGGCGCCCTTCGTCTTCCCACCTACAAACGCGCTTCGATTTTTATGCTACCCGAAGTCGTTTGTTGGGTGCGGAGGCTTAAATTCAAGTTGTCCTTGCCTCTTGCCTTATATAACTGCCCCCTCCGTTTGTGAGGCTCGTCCAATCTAGCGCTGTGGACTGAAGCATCGTGTCGCTGTTGGGATGAACACAACCGGTGGAAGCCCATCATCCTGTCCGTCTGCTTCGGCGTAGAACATGAGCTCTTGCCCTACGATTTGATTTGACAAGGCCTGCGGTATAATTTCTCAGCTTCATTCTCGTACACTCGCTGGTAGACTGTTGAACGTGGGGATGGATGACGTGGGTAGCGGAGGTGTGAACGTCTGCTGGGGATTGTCCGATGCAATTTCCATGATGGCGTTAGGTCGGTCGCATCGGCAACCAGGATTCGAGGAACGAGAGCCAATATAGAATGGAAGGAAGATATTCAAGAACTGACTAGCGGACTTGCTCAAGCCCAGAAGAACAGGTGGACGTAGAAGTTTGCTCCGCCACCGAACAAATTGGGCCCAACCATCTTCAACGCAACGACTACCACCCACCAACTACGAGCGGCTCTTTGACCAAGTTCACCATGGAGGAGGGGATTCCATCAATGTCAACAGGCGCCGTAGGGTCAAGATTCGTTTCCCAAACTGAGATAGATGCTGCAAACGCAACTCGGGATGAACAGTGGAAGGCTGCATATGCCAGGTAAGCTGCTTCCATCGTGCGGGCAAAATTTCCCAGCTCTGATGTTTAAATGCAACTCACTCTATTGCGTACGCTCACTCCTTTGGCCAAAAACTTGTGCTTGCAAGGATAGGCCAGGAACCACCACCGCGACCTGCTGAGGATTATGACGGGCGGTCGCTATTCGAGGTTCGTCGTGCATAGGTAGCTGCCTAGGGCCTGTACGCTCACTAAGCATTCAAATTTCAGCGCTTGCAAGAGCAAAAGGTTCAAGGAGTACCAATTGCCGCCCGGTTTTCATGTCGCTGACATGGATTTCACCACCTAGACGCTCAAGCAGGAGCAATGGGACGATAAAATGAAGCTTAGTGGGTGGCAGGGGCTTGTTGCGTTCGATGAAGTATGCCTGACAGTGACTCTCATCGTACCTCACGCAGGCAATCAATTCCGTGGGATTGACGAGGAGGACTCGGCTTTTCTGGCACAGGTCCAAGACGACAGGGTTGAACAGGAGAAGCTGAAGAAGAAACAAGAAGCCGACGAGCTAGCGGCCTTCCGGGTGTCAGTGTCTCTCTTACGGGCGTCCATGGATGCCGACTGACATCAGAATAAAAAGCGGACAAGCCAAACTCGCCGAAAAGATATCTCTTGTGGCATCATCGTCCTCCGCTCCTCTTGCCGCCCCCACTGCAGCTATCAAGCCCACCAAACCGGCACCCGCTCCAGCACCTTCAAAATCGTCACTTGGCAAGAAAGACCAAAAGTCGATCCTAAAGGGCGTTGTAATAAAGAAGAGGGACAAGGAGAAACCAAAAGCCAAAAAGCAGGAATCTTCAGACTCGGCAAAAGCTGCTGAACCAGGGAAGGCGAATCCATCTGGAGGAGGAGAGGGCTCTGCTCATAAGCGCAAAGCGGATGAACAGACTGCTCCCTCCAACCCTGACGATGGTAACAAGAAGGCCCGGTTAACCAGTTCGAATGACTAGCATACAGCTGTACTTAAGTACTTGGATTTATTCCCTACCACAATTTCATATTTTCATAATGGTGTTTCTCACCGTTGGCTCTTGTCCTGCGCTCTGAGGCAGTCGAATGTTTGGAGGACCTGCTGACCAATCAGCGCTCGTTGCTACGACGTCATTTGAACATGTGCGGCTTCTTGCTTCCATCCGACCACGACCACGACCGCGCCCGCCCGGGTCGAACACTCATCGATTCGCGATCAATATGACCTTTGTACAGAGGGTTGTCGACTTCTTCTCTTTCTCGACGAGGCCAGTGACCGTCCTCACACTCGCCACTTACGCCGTCATTTTGATCGCAAGTATTTGGATACACGAGGGGAACCCGCATGTGCCACAGAAACCTTCAAAGCAACTGGGACTGGATCTGGATGCCGCTTGGAATGATCTACAACATGTAAGAAACGCCCCAGCGTTTTGAATCCCCGTGCTCACACCACCTGAACTCTTCTTGTTGCTCCCTCGAATGATAGATTACGACATTTCCGCACCCTTACAACTCTCATGCGAACGACGTTGTTCGAGCGTATATCTTGGGTCGCGTTAAAGCGATGGGAAAACGGAGGGAAAGCTTTTTCCATATTTCGGACGACCACATCAGCAATGGCACATACGCTGCCGGTCAGCTCATTTATTTTGAAGGAAATAACGTACTCGTCAAGATCGATGGGTCCGACGATGACGCGGACCAGAAAGGCGGCGTATTAGTATCGGCTCACTTCGATTCTGTTTCGACCGCCCCAGGTAAGGGTGGTCATCGAACTCGTTATGCCTCGTTTTGACCTCGCGGCATTCTGGATTATCCTAGGCGCTACCGATAATGGAATGGGAGCTGCAACAACGCTCAGCCTTATTGACTATTTCGCGAAGAACCAACCCCGTCGCAATATCATCTTCAATCTGAACAATGGAGAGGAAGATTGGTTGAATGGCGCCCATGCCTTCCTGGAACATCCCTGGGCCAGTTTAGTCTCCGTCTTCCTCAACTTGGAAGGGGCGGGCAATGGAGGGTTAGTCACTGAAAGTGAATGTTTGGTTTGCAGTCACTAACCTTGGTCGCCCCTCAGTCGTCCCTTGCTATTCCGAACATCGTCGACTGGTACGTTGCCTGGTGCTCGTTGAAGGCAGTGGATTAACTAGCTCTCAGGTGTTACAAAGGCCTTCCGGGCTGTTCGCTCGCCTCACGGTACTGTCCTATCTGCGGACGCATTCAAAAGGCGCGTCATCCGCTCTGGAACCGATTTCGAAGTTTACAACAAGGCGGGTATGAAGGGACTTGATCTTGCATTCTACCGCAATCGAGCGAGGTACCACACCAAGTACGATTCGGTTCCTGCTCTGGAGGGCAAGGGCAGTCTCTGGGCCATGATGTCTGCAGGGCTTCGAGCCACGCAAGCACTGGATGCAGCCAATGATGGAAGTGAAGGGGGAGGTCAGCCCGTATATTTCGATCGTGCGTACTCGTAATCGCCTTCTAGCACCTCCATGCCGACTTGCTTATGATTTTGCGCACCGTTGATATCAGTTTTCGGAGCCACAATGGTTGTACTTGAACAGAACACCATGTTCATTCTCAACGTGGTCGCTCTCGCCGTTGGCCCTGCTGTTGTTGCCGCTCTTCTTGTCTTCCTCCGCCAAAAGAGGAAATTAGTTTGGTCAACTGAAGGGTGGATTCGCTTTCCTTTGGCATCCATTGTCGCCGCTGCATCTACCATCGGTCTCGCCAATCTGTACTCGAAGTTCTCGACCTACGTGAGTAAATTCCATACGAACTCGAGATTATCTCTGACTTTCTTCTCCGTAGATCGTCTATTCATCATCGTACTCTGTCCTGGCGTCGCTTCTCATCACTTTCTACCTCGTCCTGTACGCCATCCTCCGAACGCTCAACTGGTACAGGCCCCCTTCAGGAGGCCAGCCTGCCCAACGTGCCATAGTGTTCCTCCAGACTTATTTTTTCTGGTGGAGTTTACTTATTTTCGACACCGTGGTCCTCAAGGTCCTCCAAGTGGGCGGCTTGTATTTCATCGCGTTCTACCATGCCGGGACGTTGGCTGCATTAGTCATCTCTCTCTTGGAGATGCTTTGGGTGGTCAAAGGAGAAAGCGCTACTTCCATCAACGGCGATGAGCACGCAGAGGAGGAACCCCGTCGTAGCGGACCGTTCGGCGACGATGAAGATGAGATACAAGAGGAGGCCGAGGCTTCCGAGCCTACGGAGCGATCATCTCTCCTTCCCAAACATGCGGATCGGGACGAGTGGGTCATTGAGGATCATCGTTTGGCAACGCCGTTGTGGGGAATCGAGTTCCTCTTGGCCGCCGGCTTCCCCATCATTTTGGCCACGCAAATCGCCCTGCTCCTCCTCACCTCGACATCGCAAACATTGTCGGATGGCAACAACCCACTTTCTGTCTACTTGATGATCGCCATATCCTCAGTTCTTATCATTCTACCCTTGGCTCCATTCATTCACAAGATCCATCGAATCTTCAGTCTAGTCCTAGTCTTCATCCTAATCATCACCGTCGCCTACAACATGCTAGCCTTCCCCTTCAGCATGTCTTCTCCCCTCAAGGTTTACTTCCAGCAAACGGTCAACCTGGATGCGAACGCTACCGAGCCTCACAGTCTGGTGGAGCTCGTAGCGGTCCAGGGCTACCTCGATCGATACGTCGTACCTTCCACACCATCGGGACAGGACGCGATAAACAAGGGTCAACTTACCTGTGGCCCGACAGTAGGCAAACGGGTAGGGCTTTGGAGCTGCCGCTATCCTGGTCCACCTCCAAACGTCGCACCGATCAGCGCGAACGACATTGGGACCGAATTCGGATCCTCTGCAGTGAAGCCAGATCTCATCACCTTCAATGCCACTCGTTTAACTGCGAACACCGGAAAGATTACCGTCAAAGGGCGAAACACACGTTCGTGTCGGTTGTACTTTGATGACCCCATCAAAGCTGCCCACGTCAAAGGTGGAAACGATCGGGTACAGCCAGGATACGTTGTCCCAGAAGATGGAGTGA